ATTAATGATGAAGAATTGATTCCAATGCATCCTTGGTATCGCGGTTTTTATGGTAGAATACAAAAAATTGACGAAAATAAATATGTATCATATGGTATTATTGCTAAAAAAGGTAAAGCACATGTACTGATTTCCGAATTGCCAGCTTGTAAATGGACCGAGGATTATAAGTCAAAAGTTCTTATTTATCTCATGGAAAATGGCTTTATCAAGGTATGGTTGGCTTTTTCTTAATAAATAAATTTGTATTATAATTATAGCTATATCAATAACATATTGTCATTTTAGAATATCGTTAGAAACAATTGCACGAATGAAAGGGTTGATCTTGTGATTGAATTAACTAATAAACAAATGGAAAAGGCTGAAAGTGATGGTCTTGAAAAGTTTTTTAAATTAACAAGCTCAATAACAACATCAAATATGATGTGCTTTAATTCAAATAATAAATTAGTCAAGTATGAGTCGCCAGAAGAGATATTAAAAGAATTCTATTCAGTACGATTAAATCTTTATATAAAGAGAAGAGTAAGTTGGATGTTTATTTATTCTAAATATTTTTATTTATTGATTTCTAATAAGTATATATATATATATATATATATATTAGTTGCATTTAATTGAAAAATTACAACTAAAATTGATTATAAAAAAATTCATTGAAAATATGTTTGGATAATGATGATAATATAACAACGTCAAAGAAAAAGTTAATGGCAAGAGCGATGATTGTTTTATAAATAATACATTAGTTGAGAAAATCATTCCCACATGAAAAAAAATGCAAACCACGCATGCCGCCTGCTTTTTATTGAACGCACAGCTTCATCGGCACATAGAAAACTTCCGCTTTCAGAAATAATAATGAGGTATTTCCCTATCTATATCGTCTCCTTGTTCAATAAAGTATTCATTTATTATACAGAATAAAAATCTTATTTTTTTAATCTTTGATAATAATTTGAGTCAATAAATTTTCTAGTTTTCTTGGTCCAATCTATTTATGAAAAATTGCTATGAATTAACTTTAGTTTGTACAGATTCAAATTTTCTTATGTTGGACGCGCTTTTGTGGTTATACCTGGAAATTTCATACGATTTTCTTTGTCGACATCTAAAGAATTACATTGTAAAAATTTATCCCATGCATTTTCTAATGCATCCAAATCTTTGATCCAAAGTTCTTTGGCCGACATTCCTGAAATTACTGCGAATTCATCACGTAAAATCTTCTTCTTCTCTTCATATTTATTAATCTATATTTAATATATTCATCAAATATAATTAATAAATATACAGTATAATTTGTTATAATTTATTTATTAATTTACCTCTTCTTTACTAAAAGTCCAACAAGTCATTCCCATTAAATAGTCATAACCTTTAATAATTTCATCACTATACTTTTAATCCAATTTTTACGTTCATCGGCATTCTTTTTAGCAAATGCCATTTCAACCAATTGATGATCTTCATTATCCATTGGTTTAAATAGTTTAACATGTTTCCCAAGATTTTTGAAATATTCTTTTGCTTCATTAGATGTACTGGTCCCAAGACCCTTATAATACTTAATTTCCCATCCTTTACCGTCATCATTATGACTCTTCCATTTCTGATATTCGGGAATCGTAAAAAAAGATATAACTTCTTTATTCCTTTTGCATTTGACAATAGGTGTAATAAATTCACAAAGAAAATCGGGGTTCTTTAGCAATGATGGATAAAAATGATCAAAAAGATTGATGATCAAGCCTTTAATATGACTACCGTCATGATCTTGGTCAGTCATGATCATAAGTTTTCCATAGCGTAAGTCTTTGACTGAATTATATTCTTTGTCATGTTGCAAACCAAGAATTTGCTTTATTGCTTGAATTTCCTTGTTCTCAGATATTTGCTTTATTGATGCATCTCGTACATTTAAAAGTTTACCTCGAAGAGGGTAAACACCCCAATTACTGTTTCCAACTACATCAAAGCCCGCCAAAACTAGTGCTTTTGCAGAGTCTCCCTCAGTAAGGATAAGTGTACAATTCGAAGCAAGACTGGTACCTGCATTTATGGCATCTTCTAATTTTGGAACATGGATCCTATAAATTATAATAATAGTGATAGTAATAATAATAATAACAACAAAAGGTTTAACAATTGTCGAAAAATTTTTTTTTTTTAAAAATCAAATGATTAAAAATTAAAGTATCGTGATATTTAAATAATTAAAATTATTATAAAAAATACTTGCAAACTTTTTTTTCTCCCGTCTGTTTTCTTTAATTCCTGAATTTGCCTTGATATAACATCATTCATGATGTTCTTCACTATATCCGTTTTCATCACTTTTTATTAAAGGAAAAAAAAATGTTATGAGATAAATAAAGTTTATAAAAGACTAACAATATAATCTAAGATATGTTTGTATACCTTTTTTAATAAAATTATCATCTATTCTGCATTTTGGTCTAAAGGAGTGATGTTTCAATGTCATAATTTCTTTAGTTTGAGAGTCAAAAGCAGGATTTTCAATTAAACAATTAACAAACACCCAAATATGATTTTTAATCTGAAAATGTTTAACTTTAAGATCCTTATTTTTCTTTTCGATGCATTCAATAAGTTTTGTAACTATTTGATCAATAACATGATTAACGTGAGTGCCACCTTTTGATGTGCAAATGCTATTTACAAAGCTCACCTAATTATTATTATTGTTGTTATTTTACGGGAGAAAAAATATAAATAAATATCTATAAAGTGAACACATTTGATTTACAAATGATAATGTCAAATATCATTAAACAATGATCGAAATCACTTACTTGTTGAAATTGGCCTTCAATACTGGGCGCAATGCTAACTTCCCAATGATCTCCAAATTGTTGATGGACTACATCAGTTTTTGATGGTTCGCCATCAGTTACATTAATTGATTTCAAGTACATTTGTACATATTCTTTGAAATTTTTTGTTTGGATTTGTTTGTCGTTAAGAAAAACCTTGACATTTTTTACTGTTCCTGCTATATCATATACACGTTTATTTAATAAAGCAATTGTGTCATTGGTCAACTTTGACATTCCTAATTTTTCAAAATCTGGATTAAATGATATCTTGGTGTATTCTTCTTTTTTGTCGTAAGCAGTGATTTTTGGTTCATCAGTTTTTGTCATATTTTCATAAAAAGACTGAACATATTGTTTTTTCTTGGCCATGTCAATAGTTTCAACGGTAAATTTAGTGCTGAATATATTTGCAGATTTCGCACCAAGACCATTTCTTCCACCAGTAAATTTCTTTTCATCATCATTATAATTTGATGATGTCATAAGTTGACCAAACAACATCTCAGGTACATAGACATTTAATTCCTTATGGATTTCGATCGGAATGCCTTTACCATTATTGTATACAGAAATTTGACCATCATCTTTATCAATATTAACGCTTATTTGATTCATTGAGGGGTCTCGCATCTATATAAATTTGTATAAAAAATAAGTTTGTAAATTATAAAGTATTTTTTTAAAAATGAAAATTTTAATGATCATGATTATCATTATAATTCAATACCTTATTGTCAGCAGCATTAACAAGTATTTCATCAAAAATCTTAAGAAAAGCTGGTACATAATTTATTTCCTTATATTCAAGCTTATCTTTTTCGGCATTATAAATCCATTGTTTTTCGGTCACAGTTTCAACCGAACCAACATAAGTATCAGGTCTCTTAAGCACATGTTCAATTGGAGATAATTTAATGTAAGTTTCTTCAATTGATTTTGAAGATATGTATCTCTAATTGTAATATAATAAAAATTATAAATAAGTATAAGTGAAAGAAGTTTTTTATTATTTGATATCAAAATAATTTAATTTACCAAAAATGATTTATTAAAATTAAAATGGGATAATCTAGTGATCATATGGGGGCTGTTCTAGGAAAAAGTGGGTTTCGACCCTCAGATTCAAAAATGAGATATTTATACCAAATTAATCT